AGAGAATGTGCCATTCGGACCAGACCGAGAGAGAGAGGGGAGAACTTCAGGGCCCATCCCTGAATGTGATGAAATGAAAGGTAGTTTATGGACTGTCTGGCGTGGTCACTCACACCTCCACACTCCAGTTCAGGAGCAGCCTATGAAACCCCTGGTCTCTGATGGGAAAGTAATTACCTTGCAGAGATTAATTGGTTGGGTTTGGCTCAGTGGGTATGAGTCTGGAACTCTTGGTGTTAGGTTTACACAGGAGTACATCTGCGCCCAATTATCCAGATGGCCTCTGTCCCTCCTTACTAACCCTCCCATTTCTCCACTCAGCTTGCTCTCTGGGGCATTTTAACCCTATTCATTGCCAGAGAGGATGATGGGATTTACATTTTGCTTCAAGCACACACCCACATGTGTAGGTAGTTGATGATTAATGCAGAAAAATTACCTTCAGTGATGCTAAGCTATTTAAAGTCACCAGCAATAAATACACACACACAGCTAAATGATGGACTGATACATTGTAGAGCTTCTTTTTATGTATTGTGACTTGTAACACACAGACTGACTTTGGTTTTTTTTTGTTTCATGCATCAAAGGAAACATTTACAGAGGAGGTATGCATGCTCCTGTTGCTGACCTTTTCTAAAAATGCTCTGACGGTCATGCTGGTCCAACTGCTTCAGTACTTCAGGAAAAAGTGCATAGATTAGGTGCTTTGACTTCACCCACACATTCCTGATCCACATCTTTGGTTTGGATTCACTTGTATGTTACAGTACTGACTATCTGAATATAGTTTTATACAGGAACTCTAAATCACTTTCTCCAAAGGGTAACTGGCACAAACTTTCTTCATTCCTATTCTAAGCTGAGCAACAAACAGACACAATCAATCTAGAAAGTTGCAGCCTCAAAACAGTCACGAAAGTATACAGAAACGGTCATTTTTAATCCTAAAGTTAAATACATATGCTCCGTATAACACTTGACACTGGCCGCCAACATGTAGCAGTCCTGCACATCTTGCTGAATACTACGAATACAGAGGATGAATACCAACAGTGGTACAATTCCATGAAAAGCCAGCATTACACAATGATACACACTACTACTTTTCCATCAAGCCGTTACACATAGGCTCCAACCTATTAATCCTAAAAATCAATGACGACTATCAACACTTCAACCGTATGAACATACCTGACAAAATTTACAGCTGAAGTCACCAACAGCGTACTGCAAAATGGACATAAGATTTTCTTTGCATGATACATTAACAAGGACAGAGGAACACTACATACATATACAGCTTACAGAAAGTAATCATTAAATAATGGCTTCAGTGACACATAGAGGAAGGTTAGATGGAACTCAGTATTTCAGTGTTGCTTCAACCATCTCGCCAGATTCAATTATTTTTATCTCTCAGCATTGTTCCAATGAGTATTCATTGTATTTAGGGATGCACAGATACTTTTCGAGTACCAGTGCAGATACTTGGCATTTTCACGAGAACTACCAGGGTTGCAGCTGGGACCTGGTTCTGGCGCTCCACCATTGTCCTGAAATCATTAGTCTGTAGTGTTTTAGAAAAACTGTCACATGACAACAAAAATGTATCAGTACTCGTACTTGTAATTCCTGGGCAAGTACCAGTACTCGTACTCGTAAAACTGGTATCTGTGCATCCCTTTATTTATATTTATAAAAACAAAATCGTACATTAAAACAGAGATGTACAAATCCCAGGAGCCCCGTGTGCTCCTTACAAATGACAGCTGACTCCTAACTTCTGAACTTTTCTCTAGTCTAGGAGCTCAAAAGTATCGGTACTTGTACCGAGTACTGTACTTGGTATCTGTGCAACCCTAATTGTTTTGCTAGACATTTATATTAGTGAGGAAGAGTTTACATTTTACCACCATTCCTTTAACCTAAATATTAGTGGAACTGCTAGTTAAACACATGGATCACCTAAACCTACCAACGCAGAACACAAATGTGTCTTCATACATGCTCATTGTGGGGTTGAAAGTGTCAGTACTAAACAGTCTTTATTTCCCCACAGCCACCAATCATAGCCAAACCTGGCTTGGAAAATGACAGATAACTATCTTTATATAGGAATGTGATTTGTTGTGAACAAATATTAAGAGATTTTACTATTGGCACTTTGATGCCAGATGTCCTACGAATGAATTTATAAACGAGTGTCTAAATGACTCCATTCATCAGAGTGAAAAATAGTTAACTTGGCACCAACTGTACAAATACGGAGAAGGTTATCTTTGCTTTATATCTGCCCAGCATCACAACCCATCACACTGCCAGCCTCATACACACAAAGTGAGCCTGTGCTCTGCCCATGCAGGGCAAAGCAACAGGTAGGAATTATTGCCCCTATCCCCAGCTGCACACTCATTTGAATGGGCTGACTAACAAACTAGATCAATTAACTGGATCCTGTCCTACTGGCCCCCGCCATCATGGCCCATTTAAAGGGAAGCCTCCTACCGGCAACTAGGGGTTAAGAATGAATGACACCACAAAGAACAAATGCACGGATTGCCGCAGTGCAGTAGTGTAAGTTAAGCCTGTACTAAGAGAATCTCATAGGGTGCCTGGGCTATCTTCAATCTGAAAATGCTAGTCACCTGTCAAGGTGAATTATTTGCTTCTATATTTTTGATATGCTGACCCATGTATGCAGCAACTGAAGACAGGTCTGCTAACCACAATCCTTTTAAAATCTTTGGATTAGCATACCAACCAGACAAATAGAAGTTTCAAAAGTAAAAGTCAGCAATGAAAAATAACACATTTATAAAGCACTGTGATGTGCTTTACAATCGTGCATTGTGCTTCCATTGGCTTTGGGGGCAAAGGCCAATGGAGCCCAAATAAAATGAATAGAAGTTATGTAAATAAATAAATACACCAGGAGGAAAGCCCAGTCATGTGACCAGTCCAAGTCACATGACTTTTTCTACCCCAGTCACGGAATTGTTGCTTAGGCACTGTTAACACCTTTACGTTTTGTCGCGCGTTCAACGCTCTATGAATGCTCTACAAAACGTACAAACTTGAAAATCCCATTGTTTTCTATGGGTATGGTTCACACCTTTCCGTATTTCAGCCCGTCTGAACGCGCTACAAAACGGCCTAATCCCAAAGAAGTACATGTACTTCTTTGGGGCGTTTTGGTCTTGCGTTTCCATTGGGACACAGCCAAGTAGCCCTCGGAAACGCGCGTTTACCGCGAATCACGGTAAAAACGCGCGACAAACGCGCATATTCAATACGCCTAGGTGTGAACCCAGCCTTAAAGCAGCAGAGAAAACTCTGTAGGATACCGCAGGCTTTATACATTTCTTTACTGTTTTTTATTTCCAAATTCTTTTAAATTAAATTTACATTAAATTGCTCTCCCCTACAAACCTGTTGCATGGTCAGGACACATAGGTTTAGGCCAGCGCACCACTATAGACTATGGAGAACCATAAGCAATGCACGGAGGCAAGGTGAGCAGGACTAAAACTCGCCACACATTTACAATCCGATTGTAGAAACTACTTTAGATCTACCATCAACTATGTTAAACCTAAAATTGTTTGTATGGCCAGATTATAATGTGTACAGTGATAGTTAGGAAGATGCATTCCTGGAGTAGGTAGAGAAGAGTGAGTCATAGCTGAATAGGTAGAAACACTTAGGGCTGGTTCACACCAGGCTCCAATGCAGGCACAACGCAAAGACAAGGCAAAAGCAACACATCAACACAATGATCACTGCGATAATATGATGCAGGCACTTTGCAATGTGCTGCTGTGCAGAAACCTGACTGTGACACTTCAATTTAAGTTGAAGAAACACAAAAGTAAACTGCAATGCGCTGTAACAAGGCCTCAGATAACTCCTTATTGCCTCTCCAGATCGCACACCAACCCGCAGTTCAGAGTGCAGTCTGCTGTGAACTGGCCCTAAGGGGAGCTTAGAGCAAGAGGGTAAAGTAAAATATATAATATGAATATAAATTAGTGATTGTGAGTACCAGTTATTTTATAAGCATTCTTCATCTCTCTGCCATTCCATGTCTCTCATCTCTCTACCCACTACCATCTTTTTTATCAGCTAGGTTGGCCAGGAGCTATACTGTAAGCACATTGTAAGATTTCTTCACCCTGCACAGCTATAACAAGGCAACTACACTGTCTGCATAACTTGGGCTGGATCCAGTTCAGCAGGGCTCACCGGCACCATGTGCATACAAAATGCTTCTGCTGGCAGTGAGGTCCTAATGACTCATTCACAGCATGTATGAACTCCTTCCTCTGATTTGTGACTAGAACATACACAGGGATGGCAGGTCAATGGCAAAATTACACAGAAACCTTTTTTCCCTTCCTTATTTTCCAGACATAATTTGAAGTCATAAATCACTACAGAGACAGCTGACCTCAAAGGCTCCTTGGCGGTGAATGTGGAAACCCTTGGAGCGAGATGCTAACCTTCCTCTAGTCCATACTAAGGAGGAGCAACAGAGATGTGCTGGCTTGTGCTTAGAAAAATGAAAGTCTGTTTAACCCCCAGAAAACTGAAACAGTTTTCTTGTGTATGCAGGGAACTGACCACAGGTGTTACAATGAAGTAACTACACCCTATACAAGCTCAGTGAGGCCTAATAATTTGTAGCTTGGATGTTGCCTCATATTACAAACACAAGCAGACACTGTATGAACCCGTCTTGACTATCCACACTAAAAAACCTGCTCACAAGAGACGTGAATACTGTAACACTGCATGTTTGTCAGAGGGTCATTTTAGTAAAGAGTTAAGAAACAAAGCAGATCTGGCAGGTAACCACCATAGTAAACTGTTGCTAAGCAACAATGTGCAAATAATATACACTGCAGGTCCTGGCTTGTGTGGAGCCCAGCACTCAGCAGACAATCTCCTGTTTGTTAAGGAAAAAAAAAGGCGTAAATATTAATTGCTTGCTTTCTTACCGGCTGATTTGGGAGTGAACTTGTCTCTGTTGGCTGCACATACAGCTAGGAGTCTGTATCCGAGGTCCAGATCGAAGCCTTGCTGTGCGGCTACTCTGCTAACCACCTGCAGGATAGAGGAACATTATCTCAACAGAGAAATCAATATGATGTTTGCCAACCTTCTTACAATGTCCAACATGTAGAAAGTACAGAATGCAATGTAAAAAGTAAACTGTATGTTGCACAGGATGAAGGAGTGAATAATAAGATGGCCAGCACAAGATGACAAACATTAACAGTGTTATTCACAAAAGGGCAAAGAGTTTTGAAAAGGCAGGAAAAGTGAACAATCTAGGCCGAAATAGCCGATTAGCAAAAATTCTCCAATTCAACTCACTTTCCAGTTCAGCTACAGTATGTTGTCCTAGATTGTTCACTTCTCCTGCCTTCTCCAAACTCTTCACCCTTTTGTAAAATAACCCTGTAAAACTGCATCAAAATGTGGTAAACTAACTATTAGGGCTGACATGTAGTATACTGCTAAAGAAAGCTTAATAATACTATTGTCACTAGAACTCAGCACTAGGGCCACATGATATCAGACTCTTGCTGGGTGTCCAGGGTATAGTGGCACCCAGCTGACTTTCGGCACTGCTGGCCAAAGTGATTTCCCGCTCTATAGCACCTTTGTAATACCAGTGCTGACATCACTCCGCAGAGCCACTGGGAAGGAAGCAGCAGAGCATCTCCTCTGTTTCAGGTAACTCATCAGTGCCACTAATGATATATGCAAAGGTGCCGACACTGACGAACAATGTAATGGAAGGGAATTTCATCACTGACCAACAACGTAAGGGGGGAGGGGCACTTTAACACTGTCCAACAACTTAAGTGGGGTGTCTGCACTTCACCACTGACCAAAAACTTAAGCAGGCAACCTAAACCTCACAAACACCACCCTTAGGCCTTGTTCACACCAAGCGTGGAGCAGGTGCAGAGCAGTTGCAGACCGGATCAAAACTGCGTCCAATGTATTCCAATGGTATTTTTTGCTCCAGTTCACATGGCAGCGTGCAGTTTCAGAGCAGGTGAAAAAACTGCAGCAAGCCCTATTTCACCTGCTCTGGATTGCATGCAAACGCATCAAAAACGCATGCAACTGCCTGGAACGCACTGAAAGCCCATGTTAAACAAAAAAATATATATTATTTTTTTTTACCAAAAACGACCCAGAACGCATCAAAAACGCGGCAAAACCCACTCCACTGCGTGTGCAGAAACCTGAGCGGATCTGCTCTGCATTTGGTGTGAACAAGGCATTAGGGGGGCCTGCACTACTAAACAACAGAAAAGTGCATTTTACAACTGGCCAACTTAAAGGGAGGCACCTAATCATTGACCAGAAAAAGAAAGTAAGGGGCACTTCACCGCTAACCAACAATTGGGGGGGAGCTACAGTTCACCACTGACCAACAACAAAAGGAGAGGGGCACTTCACCACTGACTAAAGGTGGCCATACACTTTACAACCATAGCAAGACCGTAGTCTTGCGCACAACAGCCCGTTCGGCATTTGTCTCCCGAGCATCATTCAAACCAGCCAAAAATCGTACGATTTTCGGCTGGTTTTCCAGCATGCTCCTTAGACAAAAGACGTGCGACCTTACAGTAGAAACGGTCGCACGTCTTCATTCACACTGCACGATTCTCGTACGATCGCAGGATTTCCTGCAATTCTCGTACGAGAATCGTGCAGTGTATGGGCACCTTTAGAAAGGAAAGGGTCACTTCAATACTTACCAACAGTGAAAGGAGAGGGGAACTTAACCACTGACCAACGAGAGGAGAGGGAAACTTAACCACTGACCAACGAGAGGAGGGATGCACTTCACCACTGACTAAGAATGGAAGGGGAAACTTCACAAATGACCAACAATGTTAGGGCAGGCACTTTACCACTGGCCAACAAACGCAAGGGGGGCACTTTACCACTGATAACTTTGCATAACAAATTATCCAGAGAAACTCCCGACTATCCCGTGACCTACAGAATAATTTTATCTCTTCAGTGTGCCCAAAAAGAGCCCAGTTCTTTTACATACCTACCAATATACCTTGTCAATAATGTACTGTTATGTGTTTGGAGGATCTCTCATGGCACAACGGGCCCAGTCTAGAGTACTAGAGTTTGAGGGAGATGTCATTCTGCTCCTTGTTTTACCATTAGCATAGGAAAATATACAGTTACTGTTTAAGTAGCATTAGCAAGTTCAATAAAACTTGTTTGGTCAATATAACAAACCAGTTTATATCTTGCCCTCTAAATTTTCCTGAAATCCAGCAAATCAGGGCAGAGATAGATTACCAGAAGCCAACCAGAGAATGACGATGCGGAAGAAAACATTATTGATCAACATACCGTTAAACAGCCCATGAGGCTCTGTTCAAAGGGTCTTTGAAAGGCTCGAGGGTCTCCACACCAGTCCAAGAGCTCTGTAGCTGCATTGTGGAAGTTTGCTGGGTTTTGTAAGTGCTAAAATGCAACAAAAACACAAAAGCGGTAAGAAGAAAATCTAACATTCAGTGCATGACAAACTACAAACATAAGATGATCGAAAGACCCTACTGCCCCATAATGGTTCTTCATAAAAAGGTTTTGGATTTAGTTTTGGATGCGTTAGAAAGTGTCAAAATTCCTGCCAAGTTTAATTTCTGCCTTAGCTACATTAAGAAAAATGTCCCCTCACTTCCTGTGCCTGTGAAAAGAAAAGGGAGTATAGGCATCACTGGAACAGTAAGGGCCCAACAGCCACAAAAACAGCTCTAACCCCACACTACTAAAAAGGGTTTTGGTTTCATCTGTGCCATCATTGCAGAGGAATTTTTCTGACAGGAAATGAGAAATTCCCCCAATAGGAACACATATGGCAATAAAAACCTGACGGATGCTCTAACCCTTCCTAGTTGTGGGCAAACGGATTTGCAAATGATCTGGCCACCCAAAATGATATCTAAAGCTGACTGATATTTATGCTGGGAACCATACTAAAATGTCTGTACCGCTATGGAAGGACAACGGTATGAGAACTATATACACATACTGCTGTGCTATGTTATGATTTCCGCTTTGACTGCAGCTGCCTCATACAAATTGTATGAAATTGTAATTTGTAAATTACAAATTGTAAGCCTTAAGTGTACTGGGAGTCAACAAGCCAATTATTGGAAGAGTAGGTGTAAAGTGATCTTCCTTGGCCCGTACTCTGTCAAAGTATGGGTACCAATATAAAATAAAAAGCATTTGTTCAAAAGGAGGTCAGGAATCGAGAAAATTGTTTTACAGTAGAAACAGGCAAAATAGGTGAAGAAAAGTGAAATAGAAGTATAACAAGACATAGATCTTTGTAATAGTCCTTCAAATGGAAAGAACTTGCCAGGACACACTGGTATGCTAACGGGTGTGTGGGATCATCTTGATGTCTGCAGATTGGCTCTACAAATCTGTCATATGACCCTGCCCACACAGACTACACTACATTCCACAGTATATTAAAGCAGATAACATTTGTCTGCTACATGAAGTTTGTCCTTTTCCTAGATAACTGCATGTCCCATGACCTATTAGATCATGGAGTATGTCTAGAACATCCAGGACTAGGATACTGTGCATAGGAGAAATCTATTTGTGTTCAGGTTTTTTTTTTTTTAACGGGCTTCAAAATATTCTTAATTTCAAACAGGATTGCGAGACTGCTTAAATCAGAAAGTCACTTTACAGCAATAATTGTCCTACAATGTGTAATAAGGTTGATAAGCAACATAAAGACGCACATACAGGGCAAAAAAGTGTTTGCTTTAGAGCTAATAAACAAGAATTAGATTACTGACTGCAACCGTGTTGGACTGTGCTGGGTGATGTCAAGAGGTTGACTTAAAAGGCATACATCAAATGAACTAAGCCTTACATACAAGACTTCCTGGATTCAGTGTGCTTTTTTAAAAACTGCCTGAGGTTTCTAGGCACTGTCATGTATAGACGAGGCCCCTAAAAGCACTCGGGGCATGATTTGGCCTAATGAGTCATCACTGTCACTTTTACCAGATCATTCAAAAGCTTAACCAATAGCATACCCTAAATGGCCCTTGCTGCTGACTAGCCTAGCTAAGGCCTATAGAAAAATACTAGGTTTTGTAAAGTCTTTTACATATAACAATTTCACGCCTTACCCCATCAGTTCAAATACATGGGAAATAAAAATAAAAGGGAAACACATTATAAAACTCTTGTAAAAATGAAACCTCAAAGTGTAACCATGGACCCCTAGGCTAGTGATTCAGGTCCTTTTTGTTTTGTATGTTTAGGTTCGATGCCAGGCCATTGAAAATAAATGTGAACTTTTGTTCTGGGCAAAAATAAACATTCTTAGTATATTTTCTTTTCATGTTGAATTTAATATTAGGAAAATACTGCATCATGCTGAGCAGCATAGAAAATAAACAATTTCCTATAATCCTCAGCTCCATCTAGTGACCATAATGCAGTATTTTCCTAATATTCAATTCAACCTGAATACAATGAACTAAGAACATTGCTTTTTGCCTCCACACTGAACACATATTCACAGAGATTAGCAGGTTCAGTGGCCCTGCAAATTGTTTATAAATACACCCCACAGTGTAAATGAGCCTCTAGGTAGCTCAAGTTCAACATAAACCAGATATATTTAACTATGTAAAGATATGGCACTTTCCTGAAACAATCAGTTTTTCTGGTGAAAAGGTACATGAGGCACTACAAATTGAAAATATCTGCAAAATCCAGTTGGTAAGGACAGTATAAAGCAGGGATTTTTCCATAACACATACTAGAAATATCCTACCACAGACAGCATAAAACCCCTGTACCTCTCACACCAGTCTATAAAGTACTAAGCAGATGATTTCTCTCATTTTGACAATCCCCCAATATAGAGCACAACCTGTCTATCATAACCAGGATAATTGGAGTGAATGCAGCAATACATTAATTATCACATGCATTTAGCGTAGATTTTGAATAAAGCCGAACAACATGCAGCCAAATACACTAATATATATGTGGGAGGTGTGCTACCTGCCAAAGGATTGTTATTTCTCCTCCCGATCTTGGGACTTACAAAGTCTCATTTGACTGCACAGCAAGATTTATGACCTGAGTTTTCTTTACTGTTGTTAAACCAATACAGTTAGGTCACCTTCCTGCTCACAACTTGTGAGTGGGCAATGAAGGAGCAAAAACAGATGGTTGAGCTTATCTCTCTCTGCTCTCTTCTTCTATCAGCAGGTTCCTTCTCAGCCCATGTACATAGAGCACACCTGATTGTTCACTATTGATGCCCCTACAGTCGGATACTAAACCAAATTCAGGTAATTACACTAGAGGGTTTTTTTTAACGAATACTTGGTGTTATTTTACATGTGCCCAGAGTTCAGCTTTAAGAATAATCCAGTATATGTGATGTTAGTCATATTCTTCAATTGGTACAATCTGGAAATTGTGAGAAGAACATGACAGAGTAACCCCATCATAACTTCCTATCATCTGCTGTTGTTGCGAATCAACATATGCACAGAAATCATGTCTGTGGCAGTACATGGGCAATGAAATCTAACAAGTAGGAATGCATATTACAGTCTAGGAAATGGCTAATTCATGAAATGTTGTAATACCTGTTTTATGCACTGCAGACGGTCATTAGTCTGCTGTATATGCCTGTCCATAGAGTTCATCCTGACAATGAATTCTCTGCTTCTACCTGAAAGCCATGAAAGGTCTTCAAACCTACAAAATAAAGACACAGGTTAACACTCTTATTAGGAAATATAGATTTTTCTGTTCAGAAAAAACAAATAGAAAATACTCCCATACAAATGTATTGACTGTTAAATTGGACAGCTTGAATTAATGAATACTAATAAATGTATAGAATAGTAATATGTGTTATGAAACCATCTTCCAATATACTTCAAATGTTACCTGGAATTAGTTAAAATAGATTCAAAGGATAACTACTGAGAGAGTAAAATAAAGTCTTCCCAATAGTTTGAGCCCGAGTGCAACACACTGGGTCTATAGCTTGAGAACTGAGCGATCACAAACCGCCAACGCTCCCGAAGGGATTCCTCCCTCCCCTCTCTGTTGCTCCAGAGCTCATTGGAGTGAAAGACAGGGGACGGGGCGGCACAGTTGACTCCAGCGATAGAGAGGCAGAGCCAGCTGTTAATCAGGCCTTGGGGTAGATCCTGACAATATTGTTGTGATCTCTACCAGCTGCAGCACGGCTCTGCACTTTCAGCAGTAGCCCTCTATATGCTCACTTTGAGTGACAGGAGTACATTAGCAAATGTACTCCTGTGACCCAAAAGAGAACTAAAGGCAAAAAAAGGTTTGGTTATAGTTTTTTCTTTTAAAGAACTTCAGGGTTTTTTTTATCAGCCCTTGCAGTGGGGCTACCCCTGCACTGCAAGGGTTAAGTGCTCGTTTATGTCTAGGTTAAAAAACAAAAAACTAAGATATACTCACCCGAAGCTCCGAGCCGGCTTCTTCTTAGACCAGACCCATCCTTCCAACATCTCTCCCCTTCCTCTGCAGTGGTTTAAGGTCCCGTAAATCATCAACGTCTATATACAGTGTATAGACGTGAGGGTGCTGCGGGGAGGGGGAGAGAGCACTCTGACAGCTGGCCAAATTGGATCTTCGGGTGAGTATATCTTTGTTATTTTAGCACCTAGACACAAACTATGCACTTAACCCTTGCAGTGTAGGAGTAGCCCCACTGCAAGGGTTAATTTTTAAAAATCCTGGAGTTCTTCTTTAACTTTGCTGCAACAATGACCCAGTATCTAGTCAGGGCATTACTGTTTCAAGTTGTAGCTTCTGTGTGTTTACGTGGGTTTCCTGTGTGGTAAAGTATTTACCTAATACAAACAGTATGAAAAAAGAAAAAAAAAATCACTAAAATGTAGTGAACCTCTAAGCCAGTATTGTAAATGTATTGTAAGCTTCGACAACTGCCTCAAGGACATCAAAGCTCAATTTTCACTGTGGCTGGGACCTATGATTTTATAAAGCAATACAATAAACAGGAAAACACATTTACCAATTAGAGTTTTTAAATTGCCTTGTCGCTAGAGTTAAGCTGGATGTACACTGTTAGAATTCTTTTCGAACGTTCGTTCAAAATTGTTCATCAGAGCATTTGATCTTGGCATCATTGCGTCAAATAATTTAATTTGAAAGCCCTTAAAAATTGTTGCTTCAACCTGCTACTTGAATGGAATCCCACACATATTAAACAGGTTTCTTTTGTGCCTAGCACATGTGCAAAACAATATGCATGCTTTTTCCTGAACTAGAATTACATTTCCTGTTAGAATTTTGTTCGCTCAGATAAAAAAAAACAAAAAACGATTTTTTCATCCTGCTCCTTCCGTTTTCCTCATCACTACGGTTGAAAATGTACATTACTCAGACCCCACTAACCATTTGGATATCAAAACCAAATGAAAATATTCAAACAATATTCTATTGGTGTATGGCCAGCTTCATATATGGTACACACAAGTAGACCTAATACATAGGCCGCTGTCAGGCCCATGTAGGATGCTGTCACTGTGAGCTATCCCAGTACAGAGTGCCAGTCTGTTCCATGCACAGATAAGACTTTCTCCTGACTCCTGAGGATTAATCCATACCCTCCCTACTGTGAATCCTATTCCAGGGGGAGAAAAGTCAATAGATCTTCCTACAACTCTTTAGTATTTATTATCCTTGACATTTAGGTAAGGTGTAAATAACTTGTCATCAATGCGTTTGAGCCCCCAGACCTCACAAAGGCTGAAATGGATGTACTTCACACAGGTACCTATAGGAAATATATCCTTAGAAGAAATCTAAGACCATGCTACTACTGAGACAGGTGACCTGATACGAAAGATGGTTTTCATTCTGCATATAATCTCTTGCTTTGACGAATCTACATACAATAAATTAGCATTACAAAATAGAGATTTTATGCAAGGGGGCAAATAACACAGTGGGCCAGATAAACTATTGTCAGGGTACCAAATATTTGGCACACGGAAACCTGCTTTTTTGGATGTGCAAAAACAGTTGAATTTACACTCCACTGAAACCACCCACTGAAACCACATTTCTGCTGCTTTTGACACTGTAGACCACCTGCTCCTCCTCAAAAAACTCCACTCCTTGGGCCACAAGGCTCTGCTCTCTCATGGTTCTCCTCCTACCTAAGCGCTCCTTTAGTGTCACCTACAAATCTAACTCCTCCCCTCCTCTTCCTGTAGGGGTTCCTCAAGGATCTGTCCTTGGACCCCTTCTTTTCTTTATCTACACCTCTTCCCTTGGTCAGTTAATAACCTCACATGGTTTCCAATACCATCTCTATGCCGATGACACTCAAATCTATCTTTCTGCTCCACAACTCACCGCCTTAGTGCCTCTGAGAGTGACTAATCTACTAACTGACATATCGGTCTGGATGTTGCAACACTTCTTAAAACTCAACCTTTCAAAAAATGAGCTCATATTTCCTCCTGCTCGTGCACCTTCCCCAAACTTTTCCCTTGAGATTGTTAACACAACTATCCAGCCCTCCCCCCATGCCAAGGTCCTAGGTGTCATCCTCGACTCCGACCTCACCTTTCTTCCCCACATCCAATAACTATACAAATCCTGCCGCCTTCACCTTCGTAACATCTCCAAAATACTCCCCTTCCTCACCATTGAAACCGCAAAATTACTCATCCACTCACTTGTTATCTCTCGTCTTGACTATTGTAACTCCCTCCTCATTGTCCTACCTCTACACAAGCTATCCCCCCTTCAGTCTATCATGAATGCAGCTGCTAGACTCATTCACCTAACCAACCGCTCAGTGTCTGTCAATCCCTGCACTGGCTTCCAATAGCCCAAAGGATAAAATTAAAAATATTAACAACCACTTGCAAAGCCATCCACAACTCTGCCCCTGGCTACATCTCAAACCTGGTCTCAAAGTATCACCCTAACCGTCCCCTGCGCTCTTCAAAAGACCTCCTGCTTTACAGCTCCCTCATTAACTCCTCCCATGCTCACCTCCAGCACTTCACTACACTCTCTCCCATCCTATGGAACTCTCCACCCCAACCTGTCCGTCTATCTCCCAATCTGACTGCCTTTAGGCGATCCCTTAAGACTCATCTCTTCAGGGAAGCCTATCCCACCTCAACCTACTGAACTATCACTTTCTCAAACTATTCATCCCCACACAGCTACCTCCTAATGTATCACTTGCCCCTCCCTTATAGACTGTAACCCCTCAGGGGCAGGGCCCTCCTTACCATCTTGTCTTGAATTGTATTGTGATTGTAATGTCTTCCTTATATTGTAAAGAGCTGCGCAAACTGTTGGCGCTATATAAATCCTGTATAATAATAATTTGAAGGATTTGAAAAAGAAAGATGTGACTACTGCACCCATTGTAAATAAATAACAAAACATTTCACCGTCTGCACCAAATAAATAATGGTTTAGAAAATTAGTCAATATTTTGGCACAATAGAGGTGTGCAGTAGTGCGTCAAGAGGAAGATGGCTCAAGACAGTTACACATTCTACTATGCAATAAATAAACCATATGTGCTGCCACATAGTTTATTTGTGAAGCTCCAAATTAAAGATGTCACATGCGACAATTTGCATTACTCAACAATCTCTAATCTTTGTTTATCTGGCCCAGTGTATACTTGGCATCAATCTATTACACAGTAACTCCTAACCATCACAATTCACCAAATTGAAAAGGGTAATCATTAGAAATGATAAAAAGTCAAATATTTTAACGTCTTTGGCATCTTTTCTAACCCTATACAAATCAATACTCCTCCTTCCATTTATCTGCTAAGCTACATAGGCTGAGGATGGCCTGGTGGTAGCTTAGGATATTCTGCAAAAATTTGTAGAACAAGGCAAACCGCTCTCTCCACCTACTTATAATTTATATCATACCTACTTATATATTAGGAAAAGCTTTTAAGAAGAACATTTTTCACTTTTGATTTTTTTATCCCCATTTCCACTCTGTGCAGCAGGAGCGATGCAAGCCACAGTAAATCACACAACAGGCGGATTAGCCTCTGATGATAGAGCACTGCTGACCACTAGTTTAAGACTCTAGTGAGGTAGTAATTACATACACACTACCCCTGTGTTACAGCCTGTGTATCATATTACTCCCCAGGGGCTCCAGGGAAAGACACAACATAAGACTTTTAATTGATTGAAAAGGTGCAGCCATCACCTCTAATCCTTCTGTATGTATACATGTGCGCACACAAAAAATACTGAGTGAAGATGGATATCTTTCTGTAACCATCATATTGATACATTCCTTCTGTCTGCATTCCATGCACAGGATTATGGGAGCAAAATTCAAATGTGAAATTTAAACTGAGAAAATTAAATAATGGTTATAGCCAAGCATTAAGGAGCAATCGGGAATCGAAACAGCTCTTTAGATTGATATTTACCACAACCACTAAAGCTGGCCACAAGTTTTATCGCCTGATTGGGCAAAGTGTATCTAAACCCAAGAAGAACAATGTAACATACTGCAGCTTACCAATAATTAGATTTGGTGGCTGCATTAGTTTCATTTTTCAGGTTTGCTCCCGTAAATATACCTGGTGATCCTGCCAGTAACACACTTCCTGTCATAGGGTGACAAGGCTCATTCACTGTACTGTATCGATGCAAGAGCTGCGTGGTCATCGTAGGGCAGGA